CCCCTGGCTCTCCGCGTTCGGCTGCCCCCCGGCGGCGCCGCCGATTGTTTTTGTTTTCACGGGAACCTGCCGATGACCTGGTTCTCCCGGGCGGCACCAAGAGCCGCGGCCCGGGAGGGGGTCAAGCCTCCCTCACGAGCGGAGGAGGTGGCGCGGGCCGTACCAAGCGCGGGCTCGGTGCGGGGTGTGTGTGTGTGTGTGTGTGGAGGGGGGGAAGGAAGCCGCGGGCGAGCGCGGGCGGAGGGACGCGCCGGCGTTCTCAAGGCGTGGGCCGTACCACGCGGGAGGCGGCCAGGGAGCGCAGCGAGGGCGGAGCGAGCGGCGCGATTGGTCGGCGCCGCGGAGCAGGGAACTTCAGCGAGAGCGTCCACTACGCGGCCGGTAAACAAGAGGGTGGAAACCGTCCCCGGCGACTCCGCCCCGAAGCGGAAGGCTGACCAATGGACGCGGGCGCTGGGACAGAGACGCACGCCCTCCAATCCCTGGCCGAGGCGTAAAACTTCAGCCAATCCGGGATGAGGGGCCAAACCAATGCGTTCGCTGTTGGAGGGGGGTGGCTTGGAGAGCGAGGGCGAGCATCTGCTCCTCCTGGGAAACCCGGAGGGGAAGCGAGACAGAAATCCACCGGGCTGTTTTCCCCAGGACTTCGCCCTCGTCCCAGTTTATGTTCTCTCTGCATGGCATCTTGACCAAAGTTCCGGCGGTGAGGCCCGCCTCCCGGAACGAGAGGCAGTCAGGCAGGCCGCCTGCGGGCGGAGGGCTCGGGTGGGGTCGCTCGCCCGCTGGAAGGTGGTGGCCCTTCTAGGGATGGCCGGCGCCCGGCGTCGTCTAGTTCTCGGTCCCCGCTGCCCCTCGGCCTGCCAGCGGCCTTTCCTGTCGCCTCGTCCACGTGCCGGACGGATTGGCAGTGGGCAGGAACACGCGTCGGCGAGCTGGGCAACCTGGCCCTTGCTCCTTGCCCTTACCTTGGCGCAGGCTCTGCCCTGGTTTACCACGGGGTTTCGGCCTTGCCCGGTGCCCCCTTGCTCACCAGGCTGCAACCCCACTAGCCTTTCGCCGAGTTCCTGCCTCACAGCCTCTGCACTTGCCCATGGCTGGGCCTGGGAGAGTCCACCTTCCAGGTCCTGAAGTTGCCAGCTTGCCCGTCTCTACTCATAGCATGCCCAGCTCCACCATGATTGTATCGACGCTGCCTCTGCCCACATGTTCTCCATCGATCCACCATCTCTTTTATGGCAGCATCTTTAACCCATACCATGTGTCAAAGTCTTAAATAATAATTGTTTGGAGTGTCATGTGTTTGGCTTGCACCACTCAAAGCTGTGAAGGGCAAAAACCCCCTTTATTGTGGTCTGTTTGTTAGCTTGAACACTGCCTGCACGGTAGTGGACAGCCTTTGTTTCCCTTTAATTAAGGAGGTAACCTTTTTGAACTTCAATTTCCGTTTTCATGGTGTGGAAGCAAGTAGAGGAAAAAAAAGAAACTTCCCTGGTTAGACTTCATGGAATAATATATGATGGCCCGTAATGATAAAGGTGGTGCTGGGGAGTTGGGAGCCCCAGCTGATGGTATTTCAGGGCTCCTTTTACCCCTTTATCACACCGTTTGTTCTATCCCTCTTTCTTGGCAGATGGCCCTGATTCCTGCTTCACGAAGATAAAAACCGTTTAGCTCCAGCAACCTTACCATTCTCCCCAAAAGGGTTTCTAGCAAACGTCCATTTTGTGAAAATTCTCAGGCACCCGAAGGAACAAAAGGCCGCCTTCCTTTCTAAGACAAGCCAGAGGGCACCGAGTCTCATCCTACAACTGCCTAGATCTTCCTGGCCGCCGTACTTGGGTTCTTCTTCCTGCTTTGGGACGGCAATGGACTTGACTTAGCCCAGAGCGTGGGCAGCCTTCCCTTGGCCCCCTGAAGCTGTTTTTCTCTTTAGCTGCCACACTGCACAGGCAGATCTGCACTTGTGCCTGCCCTCCGTCCAACGATCGCCATGACAGTTTGTCACCTTTTTCTTAATCTCTCTCTCCCCTCCTTTTTTGTAGAGGTTGGTAGAATAGCTAAATGCAATAATCCATGGAAGACCTTCAACGTAATGCCTGGCACAGTAAGAGCTATTATTAGCCACCATTCAGAAGTAAACAGTGACTCTTCGTTAACTGCAGCTTCAGCTCCAGAGAGCAGCCGTGATACCCGGTGTAACCCGTCACAGCCCCGTCATCGTGTTGCCCAGTATTGTCACACTCTCAGTGTGAGCTGAGCACGCAGCTCGATCATAGCCCCGCCCCACCCTTGCAACAGACAAATTTTATTTATTGCTAACGCCTGAGCCTGCACAGATACACAAGGTACCAATCCACACTTCAATGAAAAGTGATGTGAAATCAAACATGTAGTTCCTTGACTGTACTAATCACACTTGAGATCCTCAGTGAGCTGACTGATGGCTGCTGTACTAATCATTATAGAATGAATAGTTCCCTCCCTGTTGAAAGTTCTAAAAGGGCTGATTGAGACTCTGTCCACAGTAAAACCACTAGGACGTCATCCAGCACCTACATACTGCCCCATATTTCTAGTTCAGTTTCTAGTTGACCACACGGTGTGCACTGGCCTGGCTAATTTATTATCCACTTGACAAAGTTATCTATGAAGAGGAACCTCGACGCAGGAAAATGGCTCCATCGGATTACGTGTAAGCAAGCCTACTGGAGAATTTCTTAATTGATGATTGATGTGGGAAAGACCAGATCACAGTGCCACCTCTAGGCAGATGGTCCTGGGGTGTCTAAGAAAACAGGCTGAGCAAGCCAGTCAGCAGCACCCCTCCATGGCCTCTGCTTCAGTTCCTGCCTTGAATTTGTGCTCTGACTTCCCTCAGCAATGGAGTGTTACAAGCTGAAATAAAGCCTTCTCCTCCCTCTTCCCCCGCCCCGCCCCACCTGTTTTGGGTTGTGGTGCTTTATCACAGCAATAAGAAACCGTCCCAGATCAGACCTGACTTCTTCCCTTTCTCCTTAAACAGAAAAGTGCTCTCATGCGTTTGTTAAAGGAGAGCCATACACTAGGTGAGAGGAAGCTTCCAGCTTGGGTGGAGGGGTAACATAGCACTTAGACGGTCAGATGCTTTTACATTCCCTTTGCATGGGTTTTCTCACCCAGCTCATAACTGTGTTGAGCCTAAGCACTGAGTTCTCAAAGAAGGATCTTTAGAAGGAAGAAGTATTATGGGTGCTGAAAATATGGTCCGTGGTAAAGAGCACTTGTTATTTTGAGGAGTTCCTGGGTCCAGTCCCCAGGAGCTTACGGTCAACAGTCTGTAACTTCGGTTCTAGGGAATCTGAATCCCTCTACTGGCCTCTGCAGGCACTGAACTTACATGGTTGAGTACAAATATAAAAATAAATAAAATGAGCCGGGCGGTGGTGGCGCACACCTTTAATCCTAGCACTGGGGAGGCAGAGCCAGGCGGATCTCTGTGAGTTCGAGGCCAGCCTGGTCTACAGAGTGAGTTCCAGGGCAGGCTCCAAAGCTATACAGAGAAACCCTGTCTCGAAAAACCAAATAAATAAAATAAAAAATAAAATGAAACTTTTAAAAAAAGGATTATGGGTTTGAATATGAAATGTTCCCCTTGGGCTCATGTGTTGATCACTGGATCCCCATCTGGTGTTTGGGAACTTTCCGGAAACTGCAGGACATGCGGTTTCCTGGAGGAAATAGGTCCTGACGGTGAGTCTTTGGAAGTGACAGTTGGTTCCCAACCCCTTCCTTGATTTCTTTACCCGCTATGAGGTGAAGAGCCTCCATGGCATGTTTCTGCCACAGTGGTGTTCTTCCTAGGGACATGAGGCAGAGCAAGCCCAGACGGAACCCCCTGAAGCCTCCGAAGAATAAATCTTTCCCCTTTGACGTTGTTTGCGGCAGGGATTTTGTCACGGAGGAGGCCAGTAACGAACCCTGAAGAGAGAGAATTCAGTCTCCGGAGCAGCCACAAATTGTTTTGTCTACAATTTTTGCATTTTTACCCTAATAAGAAACTTAGATTAAGACCTCCTACCCCCTTCAAGAAATGACATTCGACATTTAAAATTAAATATATATATATATAATTGAATGAATACTGCGAATGTAATCTATGAATACCACAAATGTGATTAATATGAGTGTAATTTAAAAAATTAATTTTTTTAAAAAAGTCATCAACAGTCTTGAACCCAGCTGTGACCCGGAAAACCACAATACTGACCTTCCAGGCAGGATGTGCCCACAGATGTATCAGTGACATGATTATGATGGTGGTAACCAGTCACTTGCTGAGTGGATCTGAGGCCCATTCCACAGGAGGGAATTCATACCTGCTACTGTAAACTGTGGCCAAGAACCAGTGGCTGAGGAGGTTATATAGGCCCTCGTGGGGGAACTTAATACTGTTGTTTTGCTAATCAGACATGTTTGTTGTCAAACTGCCTTCTAAATATTGTCCATACTCCAGTAAATAAATTTGATGTGGTTTAAAAGAAAGAAAGAAACTTAGACACACACTAAGGAAAGCCTATTGCAGCGTTGAATGGACTCCTGGGAAGGCATTCTGTTCAGTATAGAGAATCTGTCCTTTGCAGCTATTCTGGACTTTGCTCTGGTCTCCCTACACTCTAAATTTGATTCTCTGGGGCATGTAAATAAACATTAACTAAAAAGTAAAGAGGAGCTAGGGTGTCCCTCCGTAGGGAAGCATGTGCATGGATAAGACCCTACATTTGATCCCTGCACCAGGCTAAATAAAAGGAATGGTGTGAGGATGTTAATATTGACTGTCAATTTGACAGGGTCTAGAATCACTCGGAGACAGGCCTCTCTGTATGGCTGTAAGAGAGTGTCTGCCTTAGGTTATGTGATATGAGAAGAAGCACCTTAAAGGTAAGCAGGCACCCTTCCATGAAGGGCACCCCAGACTGGATAAGAAGGAGAAGCCTCTGGGCTGTGGCTGCAGGTGACAGCTCCCTCACACTCCTGCTGCTATGACTTTGCTACCATGTGGCTGTACCTCTAATTTTTGAGCCAAAACACACCCTACCCTGCATCACTTTGGTCAATACTTTGCTGCAGCAACAAGGCAATTAACAAATAAGGGGGTGGGGAGCTTTTTGTCATCTGATCAAAATACATAATACTTTTAAGAAAATAGAAATACAAATAAGTAAACAAAAGTAAAAATCCTTTGAAATCTCAAGACCTGGGATGGAGGTTGGGAGGAACAGCTCTGGGGTGAATTCCCCTAGTTATTCCTATACAGAAACCCCCATGTGCATTTTTAACAGAGAGAGAGTTCATTATATTTACAACTTTACTATCTTATCATTGAGAAAGGGTCTCACATATTCCAGGCTGGATTCAAACTCATAACGTACCTAGAGATGAGCTTGAACTCCTGATCTTCCGTCTCTATGTCCCTGGTGCTGGCACTTCTGAGATTCCAGGTGTATGCCACCATAACAGATGTCATATGGTACTAGGGGTCAAACCCAGGGTTTTGTGCATTCTACCAACAGACCTACAGCCCTAAGTCCATTTCACTATCTTATCCAGTAACAACAACAAAAACCACGTAATATTATTCCTTTTTAATAACTTCTTTGCACTGGGGGAGAAGGTTCAGCGGGTTAAGCACTCGCTTTACAAGTTTGAAGACACTAGTTTGGGTGCCAAGGACCCCGAGTCTGGGTGCCCACTACCCACATAAAGTTGGATGCAGTAGTGTGTGTCTGTATTCGTGGCACTTCTACAGAGAGATGGGAGGTAGAGATGGGATACCCAGACATCGTGGGACAGTTAGCCTGGTGCACTCAGTGGCAAACACAAGACATACCACCTCATACAAGTTAGAAGGTGAGGACTGACACCCAAGGTTGTCCCCTGAATGTGCACATGTCGTGATATGTGCACACCCTGACTCACACAGGTGAGCACGCACATTGTACACAACAATTTAAAATGGAAATAAAATGTCCTGGTTTTTGTAACTTGACACAAGCTAGATTTACTGGGGAAAAGACTGAGAAAATGCCTCCATCAGATTGCCTGCAGGTAAGTCTGTAGGGCATTTTCTTGGCTAATGATTAGTGTGGTAGAGCCCAGCTCACTGAGGGTGGTACCACCTCTAGGCAGGTGATTCTGGGGTGTCTAAGAAAGCAGACTGAGCAAGCCACGGGGAGCAAGTCATCAAACAGCATTCTGCCATGGCCTCTGCTTCAGTTCCGGCCTCAGGTTCCTGCCTTGGGTTCTTATCCTGACTTCCCTCAGCAACGGACGGTGATGGGGAGTTTTAGGAGGAAATAGACCCTTTTCTTCCCAAGTTGCTTTCAATCATGATTTTTAACACAGCAGTAGAAATCAAACTAAGACATAAAAGAACAGATTGATTAATTTTTAGAATCTGGAAACCAGATAGAAGCATGACAAAACAACACACACACACACACACACACACACACACACAACCATAAATTTCATTTCTCATAATTGAGAAATTTTAAAATGTACTTCCTTAAAAATATTTTTATGCAAAATATGCTTTGAGATGAGGATAAGAAAGACCATGATCATAATAGTGAAAATGAATCAGCAAGGTTTTCACAGATCTTGGAGCAAGTGCCCTGCTTTGTTATAGCTCTCAGCTAAAAGGAAAAGGCCAACTGACAGACTGTGCTATTAAAAAATACAGAATCATGAAAAATAGTCCTCTTCAAGATTTCACAAGACCAATTTTCGGCATATTCATTTCTGGAAATTACCTCTACAACCAGCTTAGGAAGTGAATGAAAGCAAAATGTCTAGCGGTATGTATTGACAACATGAATGCTCTCTGCTCTGCATCCACTGCATGATCTGGGACACATTGACATTTGCCGGCTGGATGAATGATGCTTGTTTGCATCATGACCTACTCTCTAGGATCAGTGGGCAGCGCAGAAAATAACATGTTTCTTCTATGCCGATCTCCCCCCTCCCTTTCTGCTCCATTAATGTGGAGGGAAGTTAGCCCTCCACAGCAGCCAAGCTCTCACAGCACAGCCTTCACTGCTTTCCAGGCTAGAGTGGTTCTAATCTGGCTACCAAGCAAAAACGCTACTCTCCTCTAGACTACCTGTGAGGATGGTCGCTAGTTTCTGGTACTCAGCCCCCTGGGGGTGTTCATGCCTTGTAGACCTGTTCTTCTGGGTTTTGCTGGTATGATTCATTTTCTTTCTGTAATCTGGTTGTCTTAATTTCCTGACCTCTCTTTTGTGTGCTTTACTAGGTAGAGCAGGAAGGGTGCCAACACACTGTAACCTTGAAGTAATTAATTCCTTCAGTGCCTCCCAGCCTCACTCTCCTTATCTATAAAAT